TTTGTTTTTTGTTTGGGTTTTTTTTGTTGGGTTTTGTTGTTTTTTTTTGTTGGGTTTTGTTGTTTTTGTCTGTTTTTTTGTTTTCGTTTTTTATTGTCATTCTTTTTTTTGTTTTTGTCTGTCTTTTTTGGTTTTGTATTTTTTTTTTTTCTGTTTTTGCGGAGTAGGGGATTCTATTTTTTTCTTTCTGATGTCATACCTACGAGTTGATGCTCATTGCAGAAACTCCTTGTGATTGAAATTTTAAATTCATCGTCGTTTTTCATAGAAATAAAAATATAGTTAGAAATTAAGAAAAAAAAGTACTGGACTGTTATGCAATAGCAATCTCCTCACAGATGAAGAGACTTGAGGCAACAGATACAATGAAAAGTGTGCTCAACTTCTATGTAATATCGGTCTTCCTATATGGTAGTGAATTCTGGACAATTTCCACACAGATGAAGAAGAGACTTGAAGTAACAGAAACAAAGGAAAGCGTACTGAAGTGTTACGTAATGTCGGTCCTCTTATATGGCTATCACAGACCAAGGAGAGACTTGAAGTAACAGACATGTGGTTCTACACAAGGATGCTGAGAATACCATAGACAGAACATGCAAGCAACGAAGAAGTTCTAGAGAAAGTGACGACAAAAAGGACACTTATGAGAGAATTGAGGGCACATAATGAGGGAAGAAGGCTTAGAAAATTTGATACCCACAGGACAGATTGAGGTTAAGTTGACCAGCGGAAAGCAACGCACAACCTATCTGGCGAGTTTGTGCGAATGAATGGTGGACCAGGGTTTGAGAGAAGTGGCAAAAAGACAATATTAAGAGCTACAAAGGATAGGAAATTGTGGAGAGCTATGATCTCTAACGTCCTGAAAGGACACGGCACATAGAAGAATAATTGCGTGTGGGGGTATTACTGGTGGAGATGTTGGTGAAGGAGGGAAGCAAATCAAGATAAAATTGAGAAAAAAAACTAAGTATCTTCTAAGTGGAGAAGCCTTTAAAATCGGCATTTGAAAACTTGGGTTTTTAACTGGGCTCGAACAGCAACTAAATTTGTAGATTGTAGATATTTTAATCTTTAATATAATTGGTAGAATAGAGTGTATTCTCTTTATTAAGGAGTTAAGCTATTTTTATCTATTTTTACAAAGGCATAATTTTAATATCCTCATTTTTTTTTTTTTTTTTTTTACGTTATTTATATCCGGACTATTGTCCTCATTTTTGTTGTTATCACATTTTGGCCGTTGTGCTCACCGGCCTTCTTCAAGTGTATACTGATCTTGGTAACTGTTGTAACCTAGGTAAGACTTGAATAGAATAATCAAACGAAGGTTGGTAATGAAAGATAATACTTAGGACAAGAACAACACATATAAGATCCGCCAGCGGCGCGTAGAAGAAATAGTCAGCTGCTAGAAGTGAATCAAGTGAATTCCACAATGTATCTCAAACTGTAGAATATCTACCAACCGACCCACTAGGTCAGATGTGGCACAAGGCCGAAATTAACGTAAGGTATCCGAGCCCGTAGGCTCGGCCAAAAATTCCCCGTAGACTCCGTATAAGACAGGGTCAGGTAGCTATTTCCCGAGACGAAACTCTGCCCTTCGACATAGCCCCGTCTGGGGATCCTCTCTGTCCGGAGGCAGAGAGTTTGATCAGCACAGCTAGAGACGAATCTCCAACTCTAGACCACGTACAGTATTCACTACTGTATTTATGGGAATGGCGGCAATTCTGAAAATGAACCCTTTGTAGAAGACCGGAGAGCACAACTGCCTAAACAACAACAAAAATGAGGTCAATAGTCCGAATATAAATAATGTTAATATTGATAACTCTACATTCCAGAAGTTCAAACAGAAATCCTCATTTTTATAGGGGTTTTTTTTTTTATTGAATGATTTAACCAATAGATTTTTCCGGCTTTCTTTAGGTTAATTAGTAGATAAGTTTGCCTATCGTCCGCTTCTGCCTGTCCTTTTGAACAGGAATAGATGTTTATCCTTTGTTTCTTGTTTGGGATTTTGTTTCCGGTTTTTTCCTAATGTCTTCTTTGTCTTTCACTCCCAGTAACTTCTTGTATCTTAGTGGCATTATCGCCTTGCTTTGAATGAAATGATTAAAAGAAAAAATATCAGACAGAAATCTTTATCTATGTGGTCAGTGGTCTCATTGGTGTTGGTTGAATGAATGTTTTGGGATTTGTAATCTCTCGCGGTCTGAATTTCCAATGCCTTATTGATTCCAATTCTCTTTCTGACTACATTCTTACCATTAGAATCAAACTTTGGGAATGGTTATTACATTCCTGTATAGCTAAGAGACAAAGACTAACAGCAAATCTGAAAAGGCTGAGGAGGGAAGCTTTGAAATGAGTTTATAGAAGCAAACAAGTAAAATTAATAAATTATTGGAACCAGCTATAGATCTTGCAAGTCGACATGAAAACTCCAGAACATGGCGTAAACGATATAGATTGCAACATTATGGATGACATAAAGTGTACATGACAGATGTCGGCCTCTACTGGGGACAAAATTTTCATCTCTGAAAAGGTCAGAAAATGAAAATTCTGCAAGTTGGTAGGATCGCCCGAGAAGAATGCTAAAAATACTCATTGGACATCGTAAAAAGAATTTTATTGATGTGTTAAATTTGTATTAACACATATACTGCTACTTTGAACATTCGGCTCACGACCACATCACGTTGAAACACCGGTTCCCGTACGATCACCGAAGTTAAGCAACATTGAGCCTGGTTAGTACCTGGATGGGTGACCGCTTGAAAATACCAGGCGCTGTAAGCTTGGTTGTGCTTGATTTCATAGATAATGTCTCAGAATTGTTAATCAGAGAACCGTGTTCCAATTCCAGTTAAGTTCATTATATTTACTTACCTTTCCCAAGAGTTTTTGCGCCTATCAGTTCACCTTTTCTCCTCTGGCCATGAGGCTCAAGATTGTACTACTAAAATCGTTATTATCTCAAACATTATATAAAATGAAAAAACTGCGTACAAAATATTTAGATTTCGACATTGAATAACCCATAGAGATGTTGATGTGCCACTAAACAAAAACAACTGACTCTGACTATTCGAACCCTATATAATCTATATTTTTGTTAGATAGCCTTAAAAATTGCTATATAAGACGATTCGAACTTATTTTCATCGCAGAGCCGCCAAAATCGCACCGGATCCAAATGTTCCCTCCTATTGGAGAAACCTCTACCTCATTGACCATGTTTTCAGGGGGTGTAGCCATACTCACCACACTTGGCCAGTTACGAGTTGGGGATGCTATTTGACCCATAGTTGGGGGTTTTGCATTCAGTTTTCCTTCTCCAAGACGGGTTGCCACTCAAGACTATAGGACCCTGTCTGTCCTGCTATTTACCCATATCTGGGAGGAGAAGAGATGGGTTCATACTTTTTCCAGTAAGTGAATGTAACTGACTAGATTGGAATTCGAACTCGAGTCTCTGTTTCCTCAAACTGAGCCGCTATCCACCTTGCATCCGAACTTATTTTCGTGAATAAAACTAAATGTAATACATTTATTACTACCAGAGATATTTGAACCATTATATAATGACATCCTTTTCTTTTCTTCTTTTGTGTTACCATTTATAAATGTCCATATTAGTCTTCTTACACTTTATATCACACAGTAAAATCCTTAATACAATCACTTGGATATTTGAACCTATATATAATTACACCTATGTTTTTGCTAGAATTACGATTAGAAATTGCTATATAAGGCTACTGCTTTATTTTGATAAATTAAATTTAATGTATTCACTGCTACCTGAAATATTTAAGCCCTTGCATAATGCCATCTGTGTTTTTGTTGGTTTCCATGAGGAATTGCTATTGTAGGTGGTTATTCGCATCATAGCAGAAATTAGTCTTGTGTTCACGGAGATAAAAACATACTTGACACGGAATAAAACGTACAGAAAAAACGGGAAAGCATGGTAAATTGTATGTTAATTTCATACAATTTATTTGTATTTTTCTTGTGTGTATTGGTGTGTATGTTTTATAGGTTACAATTTTTTTATGGTACATGTGATAAAAATGTAGAAGCCACTCCGTATTATTACAATCCGTATCACAAAGATAGAAATTACACACGTGTTGACTGTCCGAGGGTTCTTGGCGAAGAGATTGAATTTAACGTCTTTTGCCGAGATGTCCATATTTCCGGCAGGAACAGTTTTTGTTGCATGCTGGGAGAGTTTTATTATTTTTATTTAATTTATTTTAAACAAAGTTTAAATATTATTGTTTTATTTTGCTTTATTTATAATTTTCATTATTATTATTATTTTCATTTATTTCTAATAATAATGTCTTTATACTCTATAAAACAGCTTCTGATTTCTTTAGGTAAATTTGATGGACATTCTCGACTCTTTCTATTGTCTTATTTAAGGAAGTTTCTGTTGCCTTGGATAAAACATGCGCATCAGTGGTAATTTGAAATCTGTCACAAGACGCATGTGCACGGAATCACAGCCGATGCAAGAGTTTCGCATCACCCCCACTATCCCGAATATATGATACGTGTGGACATTTTATTACATCTTAATTTTCATAAGGTAGTATTCATATAAAATACACATTTTATTGTAACCTAGTTATGTCAAATAATGAATCATATGCAGTACAGGTAAAAAATTGAAAATAAATACAACGTAAATAATTCAAATAAGAGATCATTCCATCTTAAATAAATCGATGTTTTGCGTCAATTTTTAACAACTTGAAATTTTACTTGTTAAAAAGTTCAATACTTTTAACACATTCAACATTATGAATAAAAAATAGTGAATTTTATATAACATTTTTTTTTCGAGACTTAGCATAAACAAAACAAATTCACGCATCCCCGCCCAAGTACCCAGAATGATGTTAAAATCCGTAAAGATCTAAATCCTTCAATATTAGCCAGTTGTGCTTAGTTTTTTTTTAATATATATAAATGCAGGTTTACTACTAAATATATATAATATACTTATATATATATATATATATATATAGGTTTATTACTAAATATATATATATATACTTTATATATATATATATATATATATATATATATATATATATATATAGGTTTATTACGAAATATATATAATATATTTATATATATATATATATATATATAGGTTTATTACTAAAGCAAATATTGATAAGATAGCGAAGTGCGTAAAGTACTGCCTGGGGCCCCAAATCAGGCTTGCCCCCCCACCTCATCCCAGTTGGGAGTTCGTGGGTAGTACGCCCTGGCCCTGCACCAAGTTCAAAACACTCACAGCTGATTTATGAAATCAAATTGTCGGAGAAAGTTGCAGACTCATTTCAAATATTTCTTCCTTTTCCTACTGAGAAAGTTTTAGTTCCCAAATACTGACATCAGTTTTCGAGCCCGAGTTAAGCTAGAATTTCAAATGCCGACTTTTCAATGTTAGCCAGCTCCCCTCTACTTGGAAGACAGTCAAAACACAAATTTTTAACCTTGATTCTCATCTATTTACCTTAAATTTTGTTTACCTCTTGACAAATTTCAGATGGATTTTAAGTACCTTTTTAAAGAATTTTAACTTGGTCAAGCACAGCAACTGTACTATTAATGGAGCGCCCAGTGAGAATCGAAATGTTGTAAATATTGTCTTCAGACTAGTCTGCGAACTATCATGCTATTGTTGGCAGCTATCGTTAAGTAAAGAAAAGGTGGGTGGGGCGAGAAGAACATTAGGTTTCTCGTCACTCCTCTCTAAAGGTTGCCGTATTTTTCTACGCATAATACGCTAAATTCTGAACGAAAATTAATGGAAAAATGTGTCGTGGGGTGTATTATATTTCTTTCCGCAGCTGCACGGGATAACATACACACTGTCTTTAGTCGTGTTCTCCTCTAGGGGTGGGGATCTTACTCGGGAGAGATATCTGCGAAGTGTCGTCCAGCTTTTGAAGGTTGTCCTTATGTTATATAGACTGCAGATACTTTGTATTTTCTCTGATAACCCCTTCAAATAAGGCAGACAGACTGTTTTCTGAGTGTTGTTGTTCTCCTCTTGTACCAGCCTATCCCATGGTTCAGTTCGACATTCCAACCACCTGAAGAAGGCCGGAGCGTACAACGGCCGAAACGTTGTAATAAATATGGCGACAAAGATAAGGACAATAGTCCGAATAATGTAAATAGTATATATTAATAAAGTCATATCTAACAGAAAAGTGTGATAGATTAATTAACACCTATGTCTAGTTCGAACCTTTCTCGGAAAATTCAAAAATAAGTTTTAAAAGGGAAATTGAAAGAAACATACTATGGCTAAACATTTAGTTTATTTCTATTCTTTAATATCGTAAAATATTAGGGAAATATGTATGACATTGAGATTTTGATGGCTAATATATGGTACGTCTTTAAAAAAAGAAATTTGGTAAATTTGCAGAATAATAATTGTAATGAGAATTTCCATTCTGGTGTAAATCTGCATGCTTATTTTGAAAATAACAAAAGTTTGTGAAAGAAAACAGTTTAGGAGTTATCGACAATATAAGTTCGACCTCATTCACGTCGCGGTTACAATCCGGCCGCCATTACTGGTGTTGTTTACATACGTTTTAGCTTCGAGTAGTAATGCGCGGCAGCTGCACTTGTCTTAATTACTGTGCAATGCGCGAAGTTTAAATTTCACGATTTGCGCAAAAGCACGAGTAAGAAGATTAGTAAAAAGGCCGTTAACTAAGTAAGCTTTCGCGCAAACGTATGTAAACAACACCAGTAATGGTAGCCGGGCTAAACGCGAATAAGGCTTAATTTATATTGTCGATAATTCCTAAACGATTTTCTGGGCACCTCGGCGTGGTGTAACGGTTAGCAAGCTTGTCTTGCTAGAACAGTTACTACTGAAAAGTGAGTTCGATCCTCACTAGGTGTCCCATACATTCGGCCTTGTGCCACATCTAAGCTATGCTTGGAAAATCTCTCTAAACGATTTTCTTCTGTAAACTTTTATTGTTATTTTGGAATTAATCAGGCAACACCAGAATGGAAATTTTCATTACAATTGGTTTCCGGGGCTTAATCTCGAAATTTACCAGAAATTCATGGCTTTTATTTGGATGGAATTTATTCCTTCTTTTTAACTTCAGTTGTATTTTACTCTAGGATGGAATTTATATCCCCGTTTTAACATCAGAAACACAATCGTATTACACTCGAGAAAATATGGTATTTACGATTTGAGTCCAGTTACGAAAAAAATCTTTCAAAAATCAAGCGTTAATATTCAGTATTGTTTTTTTCTCCTCAAAAAAAAAAAAAAAAAAATCGCAATGACATCATTACTATAAATTAAACTTTTTAAAAAAATCACCTTCCTAATTTAGTTTCTAGAGGAAATTTGTAAAGGCGCAAATTACACTTTTTTTTTTCTTTAAGTTAATTGCTGTTTTTAACAAACGTGAACGTTTATGCAATTTTGAATGGGCAATTTTTAAAAAGTTTTTATACGGTTTGGGTGTTTAATTTCAATCTCGTAAGAATTTGGTTTAGCCTTGATTAGTTTTCTTGTGATTACAGACTGAATATTTTGTTTGTTTTTTTCTTTGTATTTTTTTTCTTTGTATTTTTTTTTTTTTTTTTTTTTTTTTTTTTGCTTTTTTTTTTTTTTTTTTTTTTTTTTCTTTGGTTTTTTTTTTTTTTTGCTTTTTTTTTTTTTTTTTTTTTTTGCTTTTTTTTTTCTTTGCTTTTTTTTTTCTTTGCTTTTTTTTTTCTTTGCTT